CCTAGTCAGTCTTTTACTGCCATTGATCTTTCTCTCTGCTCCCCTTCACTTTTCTTTGAGGGTTGACAGTGACCCACGGGACAGTGATAATTTTTCCATCATTTTGAGGGAGATTGCCTGGGGTTGATTCCACCCAACCCCAGTGCCATGGTGGAAGTTGGACCAGGTTGACTGTTCTCTTTCACCTCTCTCTCAGAACTTGATCATGCTTGTTAGTCTTCCATCTAATAATGACTGTGTGGAGGTAGTATGTGATTGCTTCATTCAAGTAGCTGTTCATTCTATACCTAAAAGCTCGACAGGATTCCCACGGTATCCCCATCCATGATTATCTCCAGCCTGCCAGCATAACGGAAAGCTCAGAAATGGTCCTAGGATACTTTTCACAGGTGCCCCACTCTTTCCAACTGCATCGCTTTCCAGCAGGCGTGCACCCATTCTTCGCAGGTCAGACATGAAAGACAAAAGGAATCTTGGATTAAGTTCAAAACTAGCATCTCTTCTACTGCCAGTTCCAAAGTCATATGGGAAAAGATTGGGAGGTATTCTTCCCATCCACTTTCCATCTTGCTCTCCAATGGCTAGGAATTTCCTGATCTGCAGAACATTGTCGATATTCTCGGTGAGAGCTTTTCTCATGCATCCAGCACTTCTGTTTCTTTCCCCACCTTCTTGGCCATCAAGTCTTGGGCATAGTGATCACCTCTTTCCTTTCAGGCTGATCGTCTCTATGACTATAAATGCCCCATTACACTGCTGGAACTCAAACTTGTTCTTCATTGGTGATGACCTGATGATGTTCACTATGAGATGCTGTGTCATTTCTCTCTTGCCTCTCTTGCTATTCCTATGATTGTTTTTAACTGGATCTGGCAGGAGAACATTTTCCCTGATGATTGGTACCAGGCTATTGTCCTCCCTTTCTCTAAGTCTGGGAAGGATCCTAAGATTCCTTCTAATTATTGTGCAGGGTTTAGCCCTGAAATTTGGATGGGGATTGTGTTTCTAAAGTTTTATGAGCCATTGGGCTTTTTATTTCTTTTTAAATCTTTTATCTGTTTTAATTCGATTTATTTTTACATTTTATAAAAATTTTACTTTTATATTTTTTATCAGTTTGGTGCAGGTAGCCTAGTTGCTTTGCACCAAAAAATGACAAACAACCAACCTCTCCAGGGTGATTTTGATCATCCATTCCACTCCTTGTCAAGTCCTTCTGATTGCTCCCTACTGGCCAGTACCATATTGGTTTCTCCATGTTCTTCAACTCCAAACTACCACCCTCTGTCAACTTCGGTCACTGACCCTTCGTCCTGCCCTTTTGACTTCATGCCTGGCATTTATCTGTTTCCTGGCAGTGATATCAGGATGGTCATTGATTATCACTTCCCTTTTAGTGTGGACCAGTTTCCTTTCTCTGTTGTGGTTTATCAACGTAAATGGAACATCTTCCACCATTGGTCTTTGATTTGGAGTTTTTCTCCTTCTTAGCCCACTGTTTCTCATCTTACAGATTTCTTCACCTGGCTATTTGATCATGGGCTTTCTGTCTCTTCCATTGCTGGTTATCTAGTAGCTATTTCCCAGTACTGTATGTCATTTTCCCTCTCCTGCTGTCTTCCTTTTATTGTGTTCCTTTTGGATTTGGGCATTAGACTGGAAGACAGCTCGTCATCTACACCAGCAGAACACCACTGCCCTACTCTCAACAGAATGGTTTTATCATTATTTTTATCACATATCATTATCACATTTAGGATGCCTCCATGTTCCATCACCCCAGTGGCTTGTAACTGGAAAGTAGTAAGGACTCCCATACTCCACTTGAAGAAAAAGTGCAGAGAAAATGTGATGGAGAGTCAAGAGGATCATAAACACTGGAGATAGTGCAATGGGAGACCACAAAAACCTTATTTTGAAAAGCAGACTGCTTCTGATTTATTCAATCTAAAGAATGGCAGGGATGGACAGCTATCCCTTTATACTTTACCGATGAAGTTCATAGGTTAGTATGGTCCAGAACAGACATATGAATGAAGCAGATTTATTGAAAGG